TGATGTTTTGATGTATACAATTCTTGTCTTCATCTCTATGCATTCATCGTTCTCATAAATTACTAGGCTCAAATCTTGCCTTTCCGTATACACATCATTGACCTCTTGAGGAGGAAGACTCCGCTTCCTACAACCCCTCGTCTATATCGCTCTCATTATTACCATACTATACATTCCATGAACTTCGTTCTATTCAAAAAGTTCTTTGCGCCGTCGTGCCAAATGCCGTGATACCCATGAATCCGTCATGTAAATAGAAAAGACCTCCAAACGCCGATGCTAAAAGTCGATTATGTTGTGTGAAACTCGTGAAATACGAGTATAAGTGTGTGTGATCGTGAAATGCGTTTCGTTCGTCGTGTACGATCGTTGCTGTCAGAAGGGAAACAACCCTATACCTGACTCGTCCAGCTCTTCCTCTTGTTGTTGTTCTGCTCTTCCCAGATGACCAGTTCACGACCACTCCTCTCTCCACCGCGATGTACGCGGTCGATGCCGAGATGCTCGAGACCATCGCGGCCGACGTGGATACCGAAGCCATAACGAATCTTCTGTGGGTCGGTGTAGGAGTTGTGCTTCTCGTTCTTGCGTTCCTTCCTCGTCTTCTTGTCGCCTAGGGCGGGCTCCGCAGCTGGCTCGCTGCGCAGATTGTTGCGGGAAGGACGGACGAGCGAGAGAGCGGACCGGGCCCACGTGCGTTCCGCGTAGGTGCTTCCCATTAGCCTTGCGACGAGCTCTGGCTTTGTCTGCGGGCGGGAGAAGGCGCGGTCGGCGAGAATGGGGGATTGGTAGACCCAGCTGATGATCTCGGAGAGCGTGTTGCTGCGGTGGGGAAGGGCGGCTCGGCGGCGGCCTGGGATGAGAGCGAGGAGGCTGACGCCGTAGAGGGCGAGGAAGAAGCAGAGGGCGTAGTATCCTGCGAGTTCCGCTGCGACGCGGACGACATCGTCGTTGCCGTAGTATTGCGTCCAGAAGCAGCCTCCAGCGAGGATGGGCAGAGTGCAGGATGTCAACGAGACAAAGGACAGAACGGCTGTTTGCCAGTGTCTGTTCTCGAGTGCCGCCAAAGTGGCGGAGAAAGGTAGGCGGCAGGCATAGTCGACTAGGAGAGAAGCCTCAGCGGTAGCTCCGCCTTTGGAGGAGAGCGCCATGTAGGGCTGGAGCACCCGGAGAGAGTAGTCCAGAGACAATAAAGCCAAGAAGAGGAAGTTGGCGATCAGAGCCGGAATGAAGGAGTAGAGGAAGTTTGACGCGGAGAAGCCGTCTGTGCCAGTGCGAGCGAAGACCTGGGGCAGAAATCCAAGGCGGACGGCGCTGTTGACAAAACTGACAACGAAGAAGGCGACCAGCAATACTGCGGCAATGACGATCCACGCAATGACCGAAGTGTCCTTGAGGTACCATGGAAGGAATCGCAGTCGCACACTGGGGTTGCGGATGTCGGTACGGATGGTGAAGTCGTTGCCCTGGGTCGGGTCCAGGTTGGTACGCTCAGCTCCCTTTTCAGTGATACGTCCCTCTTGGACCGAGAACCTCCGAATTCCAGCACCCTCTTCGCCGATACCGTAGAAGACGTCGCTGGGCCTCGTTGTAGTGGTCCAATATCCAATGCGGTCTGCGCGGTTGCTGACCAGATGCCAGTCGCCCTTCTCAAATGTCTCAGAGTTGTTGTAATCCGTGAGGTTGTTCGAGCGCTCAAGAAGCGAGATGATGTCGGCGAGAGATCGAGGGTCCCATTTCAGGCCAGTCGGGTTGCGGGTCAGGAAGAGCAGCATGTAGACCAATACGGCAATTAACAGGATGTAGAGAACAACAACGGTCCAGACAACGCCCTGAACGGCTACCCATCGCCAGACACTGCGGCCCACGTCATATCGTACGTTGTAGGCGGAAGCAAGAAGGGGTATCGTCCAAGTAAACAGCCATGACACGAAGAAGAAAACACTGACACCGGGGTGTCCGGCGCGGAAATGCTCAAAGTTAGGCCATACGAACTGCATCGGGTACAGTCGGAGGAAGACAGCCTCAGAGCGCATGTGGAAAGAGTCCGAAGCCATGGAGATGAAAGGTATAAGGCGCTGGGTAGCGGTCTGGATTTGAATGAGCCATAGAAGTAGGAGCATTCCTAGGAGAGTTGGGAGGTATTCGAAGACAAAGTAGCGGTTGTCGCCGAACGCGTTGTAATCCCACAGGCCGTTGCCATCGTTGCGGTTGGAGTAGACGGCGGAAAGGATCAAGGCTGCAAGCATTAGAATACACAAGAAGATGTAAAGGCCTAGCCAGAATGGGCGAAGGATAGCCGGGAGGAAGTGCAGAGGCGCATGTTGGGTGTGTGCTACGAAGACATCGTTCTGTGTCCGGGACGGAGACGGTGAATGCTGGGGCCTGTACTGTTGGGTTGGGTGATGTGGGTTGTAAGGCTGTGTGGTGGCCATGGGTGCTGGGGCTTTCGCAAGCGGTGTTGACGAATTCCTCAAGGGCTTCCGTGGTATTTGTTGAGACATCCTTTGCTGTGTCCGTTGTTCCTGCGCCATGTATCCCAGGCCATTGTCGTGGACAATCCTGTCAACGGGGTAGTCATCTTCGTCGTCCTCTGGTCGGACCTCTGGGTATATCCTCGATCCGCGGACCTCTTCGTCGCGTGTGAGTTGGTCGATGGCGAATCGAATGTAGGGTGTGGTATCCTGGCCGGGTGTGGTCACCTGGGATTCGGCGTCCATGTTGTATGACTGGGAGCGCCTCGCGTCTCGCGTGTCTGGTCTCGACTCCTCTGCGATGGTAGACACAGCAGGCGATTGAGGGCGTCCGTGTGTGAAGGAAGGCTGAGGCTGCTGTCTTGGGACACCAACACCTCGCAGAGACGTTATCGGGATGTCAGTGTGTGGCACCAACTGCTCATGACTCTGTGCCGGTGTGCGGGAGGAAGGCGGTGTCTGGTAGAGAGGCCTGCGCTCGTCGCTCGAACTGGACGCGTGCTCTGACGCGCTGTAGTAGCCCTCAGAAGCAGCGAGGGAAGCGGCAACGCTCTGCTGCGAGGTTTGATGGGATAGTTGAGGCTGCGAGACTGGCACCTGTGTCAGCACGATGCGTGTCTGGGATGGCTGGTGCAGCTCACCTACCGTTGGTTTGCTTGAGTTGGAATTCAGGCTCCACACTCATATCTTCTTCGGTACACTAATCAAGTGGAGCTGTTCAGGAATGTAGCATTATGAAGATATTTTGGCGGTGGGAGTGGATAAGTTTTCTACTCGAGATGGCGGGTGCGTGCAACTGTCTACCAACCACCCGAATATGCGGAGGCTGGTCTCATCACGGCTGGGATCACACTGGCGCGACGCATGTATCAAGTACTCGTTGGAACCGGGAATGAACAAGTTTCTCGCGTCTACCACATATCATTCGCCGGATCATGTTGCGGTATGCTTGCTGTGTTGTCACTCGAGATAGCTGCCATGCTTCCCCGCGACGATGATGTACTAGCGCCAGCCGCCAGCCTCAGAGGAGACCGGGAGGCTCGTGCGCACGACACGTCCATTTCAACGCGACATCCCCACGGCGAACTCCATCATGGTTCCTGGTACACATCAAGCAACGCTTCTTAGCTACATTCTTTACCATGAAGTATCTTGCAACAACTTTTTGCGACAACTTTCTTCTGTAATGATCCTGCCTACTCTTTTCACCTGCCGTCCCGGTCAATCAAACTTACCTAGGTAGTCTTCAGCCATCACAAACGCTTCACTCGGGGCCGACTCTAGTGATTTTACAAAGCGTGGAGCTGCCTGCTCTTGAACACTCCGATAACACAGCCCGCCTGGACTGTTGTGTCGACCGCGATTCCACGCTTAGCCGCCTAGCCATTTCCGGCAAGCGCAGTGCGCTGTTCACTGCTCAGGTTCCACATGGATATCAGTCTGGACTTAGATGTTCCAACTACGTAATACTGTCTCTACTTGATGCCCGCGCCATCTGGAGTACCGACACAAACTTTTATTGACCTCAGCCGTCGGGAGCGGAACGAATCCGCCAAGCGAACTCTTTACAGCTGGGGTACCCGAGCAGCCGCATCGTCTCCCTAGCTCGGCGAACACACGTCTTGTCGCATCATGTCGCGAGTCCGTATCTGCGGAAACGACTTCTCAGACCCCGATCAAACTCCAGAAACCTCTCGGGGCAACGTTGGCTCCTGCTGACATCCTGTGGGGTCGGCGCGGGCTGTTGTTGAGAAACGGCCCCATGCCCTAGGCGCGGCCTGGTTGTCATTTCGATTAAAGACGCCACCAAAAGGGGATGATTTTGCGATTGCAACTCAGCTCCGCCGCCTTACGTGGGCCTGAAGTTTACTGATGGTCATTTGATCGAGTGTCTCAAGAGATGGAAGACAATGAGCTTATGTTTCGTCATGTCTTGTAGCAGGTGTGGTAAGGCCATCATAGCATCGCGTGTACTTTCCGTCATACACACCGTTCTTCCCACGATGGGAAAATGCTGTGCTGAGGCTCTGGCGCTCAGCTCGATCCCTGCCACGGGGTACGGGTCGGGCTCTAGGCTCGTCAATCCTTCGCTTACTTCCCTTCAGCTGCTAACGCGAAGTATGCACAAGCTTCTGACATGCCACCAAAATACATCACATATCGCAAGCCACCATAGGGCAGAGGGTCTACCATACCCCATTCGATCACGCGCTGTGTTGGATTGGTGGGTGTTGTATGCGGTGTCTTCCTGCGGTGTCACCGATCAGGTAACGCCTCGTTCAGGCGTTCCTTGTGCGTGCTTGGAGACATGGAGATACATGTTTGTCGGAGTCCGTGTGCTGTTCATCGCTGAAGTAGCTGCTCTTTGCCCCGTTCTTTGCGATCTCCACTGTCTTCTTTCTAGTGTCGGCTGCGTTTACTCTTGCTTGATCTCATCTTTGCTTTTGCGCCGTTGGGTTCGCAATAATACACTTCCCTTGGACAGACATATCCAAAGGCTTCATTAATATAGGACGTACCCTCAGCATGTCTAACTCATCATTCTACGACTTTCACTGCCCGACCGGAGGCAAGTGGTAAGGAAGATCTCAGACTTCAGAGCGGCGCAGATACTGACAGACTATAGGTATGCTTGCTCTACTGGAAGCAAATTCGTCGGTTGCTGCGGAGCTGATCCTTGTGTCAACGGCTGCCAGCAAGGAAACATCCGTGCCGGTGGCTACAACATCTCACATTATGGCGAATGGCCAGGCGCTTCTTGTGCACAAGGCAGCGCTTTCTACACATGCAACGCAGGAGACTCTTTCTGGGGATGCTGCAAGACAAATCCATGCGCAGCGACCCCACCGGCTACATGCACCTCGGGAGACCTAACACCTGCCTTCATGGGTCTGCCAGAACAATTCAGCTTTTATGCCTCAGATGTCTCGAGCCCAACCCCAAGCGAAACATCAACTGGAAGCCCCTCGAAGAGTAATACTGGTGCCATCGTTGGTGGAGTTGTCGGAGGTGTCGCCGCTCTTGCCATCATCGGACTGATTGCCTTCTTTATCCTCCGCAAAAGACGCAACAAGAAGTCTACCGAAGGCGAAATGGGCGCAGCAGCCATGGTCCCAATGATGAACAACGAGAAGCATGACCACAACAGGCACTCATCACATTTCGACGGCCAATCACGTACGTTCTCGTTATTGATCCATCCCATAGTATGCTAACATCCCCGATAGCACCTCCTACATATACCTCTCCTGTCCAAGATCCTTACCAACAAAACTACCCAACCAAGGGCCAGCAATCATACGTCCAATACGCCAGCCATGCGAGCGAACCCCAAGAGCTCCCGGCAGAGGTCTCTTCGTCCAACCGATACTCCGAACTTCCCGCCGGCGCATCGGATGTTGTAGACACTCGGCGATTCTCCGAACTTCCTGCCGAGGCACGGCCTGGTCCTTCTGAGCTGGAGTCACCACAGATTTCACCTATGCCGGTGCAAGGCGCGTTCTCCAACGACAAGACGAAGCGAGCGAGCCGAGTTCAAGGGTTGGGCGTAATGACCGAGGAATCATCGTCGTCCAGAAACTAGTTGCGAAACGACAGTCCCATTTGATTGACGATGATTTACACTCGATCCATGCTGTTGTAACTGGGAGGTTCCATTGTAATCTGTATTCGCATATCATACCCATTCTTATCGACCAAATGCATAATTACCACCTGGGCATCTAACAATAGCGATGTTGGAAACATAGAGAATCGATTTTGGGGTGTATTGAAATTGCACGTCTCCTTTCTTCAAACAAGGCCGCTCCTGGGCTTACTCTTACCTAATCCCACGTGCAGCCAAAACGAGCCGCATTTAGAACACGAAGACCGCCTTCCACTTCGCATCGTCTACGCAGCCTTTTCGCAACTGTTCCAATATTTGTAATCATCTTGCTTCCCCGCGGCACGCAACGTGGTAGTTCGTACTATCGGAGTGTGCAATCCACAATCCCGGTCCTGATGTCACTTGTTCCACGATGGGGCATCTCATCGCGCGCGCACAACCACGCGGCAGCCACTGACTGAGGTAACCCGACGGTCCTTCACGCGACATCACCCCTCCATCACAACCATCAGCCCCAAGATCTGCCCACCTCCAGTCCTGCAAGCACTGCCCCTATAGCACCATCCGTCAGCGTTGCGCGCCGTTGCGGCGGCCATGCATGTAGCACGGCAGTGCTGCGAACATAGGCATGACATCACCCGAGTAATACCGCCCCTATTGAATGACCGCATGCGCATTTTTTCTCGGCATTTTCGCCCTGAAAGATTGCAGAAAAAGATGCAGCGAGTGAGCAGTTCGGCTAAGAGTACCATCTTACTGCAATGATGGCTGAGCCGCAGGGCGGCGTTTGGGTCGAAGTATGTGCTCTTGGGGTCCGGATCAGACTCCAGTGTTCAGGTGTAATTTCCTGGTGGCCTTTACTCTCTGCCGTTGGGTTCGTAGTTTGAAGGTCATTGATTTTGCTGCTCGTTGGTCGTACTTGCTTTCAAGATTTTCTATACAGGCCCCAGCCTCATTACCCCAAATTATGTCGCCCAGTTTCGCTGAGCGACAGGTCTTCTCACCATCTTGCCCCGCTGGCGGTACGTGGTGGTCGTGCGGCTACGGAACGTAAGTTGAAAAGTTTACTTGTCATGCTTCCAGAAACTAACCCAGTCCCAGTTTCTTCGTTGGCTGTTGCGCAAGAGATCCATGCGAAATCACCTGTGCACAAGGGAACCTGTACCCCGGTGCCTTTGATCCAACATCATATGGAGATTTTCCGGACGCTACGTGTGGCACTGGGAGTAAATTCTACACTTGCGCTGCTGACAGTAAGTCAAAAAGCATCGTTAGGCTTTGGGTCTATCGAAGCTTCTTTAGTCGACTAGCGAACAAATCGTATCTTTTGAACGCCATATTAACATAGTGTAGAAACTTTCTGGGGATGCTGTAAAACGAATGCATGCGCCCAGTCCGGTTGTCCAGATGGTGATCTTGAACCGGCAATACTCAATCGCGACGATTTACTCAGCGCTTACCATGCGACTGGTGGTTTGAAGACAGACTCGAGCCCATCACCAACATCCGCTTCCAACAATTACGCATCAGTCACATTAGCGAACGTAGCCACGACGTCAGCTACATCAACATCGAGCACGATATCCCCGTCGAACACTGCCTCCGTTGCAACCGAAGAGAAACTACCCGTCGCGGCTATAGCAGGTGGTGCAGCAGGAGGCACCTTCGCACTCGCCATAATTGCCGGATTCGTAATCTGGTTCCTATGTTCCAGGAAAAGGAAAGCCAAGACCTGTGAGAAAGAGGATGGAGCAGAGCAAAGTCTAGATATCCTACCCATATGCGTCATGGCAGAGAATCGGCAGCCAGAGTCGACCGATTGTAAGTTCACCGGAATCGATCCCTCCAATGATATCCAAACAAATGTGTCTGTCTAACACAAGGAACAGCACCACCATCCTACACCCCACCCACCCCAGGCGTCAACAATACTATCTACAGTCCCTTGTCCCCTCTCGGTCACCACCCTCCCTCCTCAGTCTACTCACAGGACACAAATTTCGCAGCATACGCACCCCGCGATCCGAACTATGCCATCGAAAACCCCACTCACTACGACCATCACCACCAAACCTACCCACATATATGGCAATCACCACCCCAAGAACTGCCACTCACAACTATCTCAACGTCCTTCCCCACATCAGCGCTAACCAAAGCTCGTAATTCCATGTACGGAGATGTTAGGGGGCCATCTGAACTGCCGGGTGATGACGTAAGGAGCGAGCTAGATAGTGCAGGGCCGGAGTCGCCGGTTTTGGGAGGGATGTGGAAGGGTGGTGGTGAACGTGGGACTCAACGACAGGGTTGGATGGCACCGAGGGACTGGGGGTTGCAGGACATGCACGAGGATAGAAATGTTGTGGAACAAGAGATGTCTGTGGATAGAAAAGGGGAAGGAGAGGGAGATATTGGAGCGCAAAGACTGGGTGTGTTGGATGCGATTGATGAAGAAGTAGACGGGAGGGGTGGGATACATGGGCGAAATTTTGAGATGAGGGACGTTAGAGGGAGAAAAGAGGAGGGCGGGTTTTTCTGAGGAATGTAACTTTCTTTTAACCATGCACGTCCCGTCTGATAATCTCATGATTCGGCTCCTGCTCATAGTCACAGCGAGCGATGCGCAACTTGTGCATCCAAACCCCCAGTCTTAGAAAACCGTCCCATCACTCAAAATGACAATCGGACTACTCTTCGTCTGGGGCCTCTTCTCCTTAGCCACTTCCCTCCCCGCCTTCCACGTGCCCGCTTCGAGCAACTGCGCCATGCTCAGCTCAACCCCCTGCATCCTCTCAAGCACCAACTTATACAGCTTATCCACCAAAACGAGCGTCATAGCCCGCCACTCAACGATAGCATCATCGCCGGCAGCAAAAGACGGAAGTCCACTTCCATCCGACGTAGCTTTGAGTCCTCGCTCCAAAGACGCGGGTTTGAGTGTTAAAACGCCTAGGTCAACAAACAGACCACCATTACGGTATTCGGGGAGGGCGGTCATGGCGGACATGTTCTTCCAAGATAGGGAGAGGATGCGGGTGAAGGGCACGGTGAGAGAGTAGGCCAGCCATTGGGTGAGTTTGTGGAAAGGTTGGATGAAGGTGCTTTCGTCTGCGTTGGCATCTTTGGATTGCGTCTTTAGTGTAGACAAGGGCCATGCGTCGCCAAGGGCTTGTCCGTTTACCACTGTGCGGTCTTGCGGCCAGATAGGGATTAGCAGGTTTTGGAGGACGTCCCAGAAGGTGAGGATGTCGAGGGTTGAAGGGTCAGAGGTGGTGGTCTTCATGTAGTCTGTTTTGGGCCATTAGTGGTTGGTGTGGTAGTTTGGAGGGTGATGAACATACCGACGACGTTTCCAGGACGGCCTTGCTCGCCGAAGATGGCGGGTTGGGAGAGAAGAGATTTTCCTAGACTGCGGAGGAGGTTGGCTCGGGAGTCGACGCCTAGCATGGGGTTGCTGGAGGAGATTTGGAAGCCTTCTGCGAGGGCTTCTGTCTTTAGGTCCTGCAGTCCTTTTCCTGTACGCAGCACCGTCAGCTACCTCGTTCAAAACCCTAGCATGCAAACGGATACTTACCATCAACGATCGGCCCCCCGTCCTTCTTCGCAGCAAATCCCAAACTCTTGAACATGTACAAACTCGCTACTGCAATACCCTCACTCCTCTCATACTCCTTTCCCGCACCAGGTTCCACATATCGCCAATGGTCCCCAGCGCCAGCATCCAGCAATACCGAAACAAAGAAGAGATCGATCAGCCGACGCGTAATTTCAAGTTCGTCGCACCCATGCTTTTTCCATTCATCGAGGAGGTCGGCAATGCGGGGAACGCCGCCAACTTCAAAGTGCTGCCAGCGGCCGTGAGGTGGGATGGTGTGGAATTTGTCGGGACCAAAGTCGCGCTTGTGAGTTTTAGATCAGCGTTTCCATGACACAGTTTTATAGAATTGAAGAACAAACCTTGATGACAGAAGTCACATAATCCGCTGCTTCGCCCAGACGTTCCTCGTGCACATCAAAGTGACTCAGCTTGCCTGCTTCAGCAGCCTCTCCTACGATCTTAGCACGCTCTCGCACCGCGGAAAGGGAAAGTAGGTATTTAACTTTGTCGTCCATGTTTGTGTTGCTCAAGGATGAAGAGAAGTTTGTAGGTCTCTGGTATGTCGAGGAGTAGGTGTTGTCAGGCAAGTGGGGTTTAGCGCCGCACTACACCGCTTGCACTGGCCCGAATTAGGTAGTTATGTGCTACGAGGACCACTTTTACGGAAGCATCTCGTGACTATGATAAGGGCGTCGGCGTTTGCCGACGATTATCTTCTGTGAATAAGACGTGCTGACGACGATGATTTCGTTTGCTTGACGATGCGCGCAAAGATGGTTGTGTACAACAAATGAGTTGAGAATTGAGAATATACATTTCATTATGGGTTTTCGTCATCAGTTCGCTGGGCGGCGCAGCCAAGCTTAGGATAATAGCCGCTGTGTCCATGTCTACGAATCTCGGAGAGGAGTTAGCTATACACTCCCTTCTCCTGCCAACTCTTCAGCTAGTGTTCTTATGCGACAATGTCGTGGTTGCACCGTTCCATACCCTGCCCAATGTCCGACACCGTCTCCTGCTCGTAACAACCACAAAGCCGCGTAAACAAATGCGTCCTTTTGGTCGCGAAAAAGAAACAATAGAATCAGACCTCCCTAACTATGGAGGCCGAACAGCCCGACGAGCAGCTACTGCCATCAATATGCATCAGCGCCCTACCGAGATGAAGGTAGCCGGCAAAGGAAGAGAGAAAATGTAGAGAGGAGCCTGGTATCCCAGATGCAAGCGCGCTAGAGCAAGATACGATCGAAGACTCGCCCAAAGTTACCCGAAGGTGAAATAAGTGAACCTCAAATAATTGGTACACCAACGCTTTCCGATGGCATGCCATGCGCAAGAGGTATCAAATCCAGGAATTGCCAGAGACGAAGGAAACCCA